AAACATTAGTGCATGGCAGCCAGCAGCTATTGTATCTTCAGCTTGTTCAGTTGAGCTTTGAAAAATAAAAGCTGATTGGTTGCCATGAACAGCTGCTCCAGATTCCGTCTGCTTAGTATTATGTTAAAGTCAAGTCCAGGACAAGGGTGTAGGGGATGCAGAAGTGGCACCTGCCCTGGGCACAGTGCTGGGGCCACAATTGATTCAGCAGGGAGAATTCGACTCTCTCCTCCTTCCATGAGAAATGTAATGTGGGCAGGCTGAGAACACAGACAAGAACATGGGCGCCTACAGATTGCCCTTCTTCCTACCTTCCCTTGTCATGTGATATATCACACGACAGGATAGGGAAAGAAGAGGCCGCTGCCTTCATTGTCGGGCAGGTGCTGCACTGAGGACGTCTGAAATGTAAGTACACAGAGGGTGGGGGGGGCAATTTAGCCGCAGAGCACCCCTCTCTCTCTTAGGACTTCTTTAGGCTTGCAGTTGGGGGGCATGTTTATAATGCCCCCCAACCAATCACCTCTAAGCTGCAATGGCAGCTGACCAGTGTGTTCACATGCCATGGTTGTGTTCATTTGTTTTGCGGCAACTACACAAATTATCACTACTGTTCAGCAGTCATTTAGGTCAGAGGTTAATTCTGAATATGCTCAACATTTTAACAATAAGATGTTGAAGGAAGGCCAAATTTTTAATTTGTATATCTTAACAGCAAGAGGTCCCTTAAAGTGTTACTAAACCCACAACAGTAAAATCAGTCGGTATATAACTGTATAATCAGTGACCCTAGCACTGCCAGGTCAAAGTGCTAACTATTTAGCCACTGTGCTGCCCACATTAGCTCAATACTGGATAGAAACTTAGAGAAACACTCGCGGGAGTGCAGGACAGGGTAAGTGATCGAGGAATCACGGAGCAGCGCCGCATTGTAAGCCCGAGTGTAGCTCGGGGTTACCGCTTGTGGTACTGAAACTTTACCCCGAGCTACACTCGGGAATACCGTCAGGGAGGTTAATTCAATTGATTCATTCAGTTTTTTTTTGTTGTGATTAGCTGTCATTGGCCACGGCTAATCACATGACACAGACAGGGGGGACTGACAACTCATGGGGCCCCCGGGCAATAGGGGATCATGGGGCCGCTGTGTCCTTGCCCAAACTCAAAAAAGCCTATGAAAAAGGTACCAGGGGCATCTCATGGGGCCCCCTACTGACCCCGGGCCCTTGGGCAGTGCCCGAGTTTCCAAATGGTCAGTCCGCCCCTGGACACAGGTGGGCTGTGATTGGCCCAGCCTGTGCATGTGATCTCTGTGATCATTCACAGGTAGGCACAGTTGTATACAATGGATGGCATGAAAGGAAGTCATCCATTGTATAAAACTGTCATGTGACCTGCTGTGATTGGTCACAGCAGGTCACATGGTACTGGCAATGGGGCGGTACACAGATCTGTCATTGGCTGTGCCCTAGGTACATGGCCGGTGACAGATCTCGCCACAGTGCGGCCCTGCTGGCGCGATCCATATGACGCCCTCCCGGAGGGACGAAGTGTTTGCCCAGCCGTCATTTGACCATAGGCCGGGTGGCAAGTGGTTAAAGGGTGCCTTGACTGAAAAAAGTTTGAGAAACACTGACCTATATTACCCTTGCTTGTTATAATAATTCTCTCTGTAGTTAATTATGTATAAGGCTCATTTCACAGTACTGCAGTGTGTCTTTGATGCGATTTACAGTGTGATTATGTGGTGCAGCTTTGCATATTCTTTGGGGCCGCACTGTAAATTGTACCAGAGTAGCTCATGAGCCTTTTCCAAAATTGCATCGTTCTGAATTGTATTGATTAGAATGGGAACCATTGAAAACTATGTGAATTCCTTTGTCATGTGATTCTGTGCAAATCAAGTCACATCAGAAGTTGCACTAGTGTGAAACAGACCTAAAGGGCAGAGCACTGTCCAAAAGTATATTTCTAACCTTTTATTATAGTAAAATTTGTTGGTATAAATATAAAAGATTTTCTATAAATCGTTTTCATTATTTTTTAACAGCTTTGGAAAGAATGACATGCTTTTCTGGCTTTTTAAATAACACCAGCTTACCAAGGGGTCTGTCAAATAACTAAAGGAAAAAATTCAGACAGATGAAAAAGCAGCATATGCTTCGGTGGATTTAAGCAGCAGACAAGTCAACATGTCAGTTTCCACTCACTTGATTTTATCTGATAGAAAATGGCTGTCTTTTTACAATCCCACACTATTTCCTTCCTCTGGTACTTTACCAATGTTTACATCTGCTTCACTTGCATACACCTGCCTGTGTCCGGAGGGATTCTAATATACTTTTGCATGCATCCCCTTTCCTTTCACATTTTAAGATCAAAAAATGAGGTCAAGGAGAACTATGCTCAGCATACATATAAGGAATTATTACAGTACAGGTCAGCCTTACTTTTAACAGGCAGCTTTGCCAAAGATGTGCTTGTGCTTCAAAGAGCTAGCTCCTGTTGGGTGATTTGTTATGACTCATGCCTGCTGGCTGATTTTGTCACTTACATTTTCTTTGGATAAAGGTACCAAATGCGTACATTGAGTCACTAAAAGTCTTAGCGATGCACACTGTTTTCTGTTTAGAAAGAAAGTGGCAATTTTATTGGCCAATTTGTCCTAGACGAGTTCTAGAATTTACTATTGAACTAAGACCTAATTGTAAGTCATCATCTTTGGCAATTAACAAATCTATACTTGACGAGGGTGCTTTTCCCTACGCACCATCTAGCCAACTGATCAATCTAAAATATATAACCTTTATTAAAATATATAAAAAATGTATGTTCAGCAGTAATTAACGCCTATTGGAGTGGAATGTACTGGCACAATATAACGGGACACCTTTGCAATTATTTACCTTACATCCAAATGGTTAATAACACCAGACCAAATCAAATACCATACCGTTTTAGATGAAGTGACGGCATACAAAGAGGCACTGTAGTTTGATCATAAACCTATCAGCTTGAATATATATAATCTCTGTTAACCTCCCTAGCGGTCTGATTATGTCCATATTTTTGTGCTCAAAGCGGTAAATTTTTAGCATGGAAATATGTATTTTTTTATTGTAGGTCTTTAATTTTTAGGAATAACTCACTGAAATCTGTCCGAACAAGAGTCTAGTAAACATCCCGGGTATGATAAAATTTGAAACACGAAATCATAAATTATAATTTAATAAATTATCATAAAAATAATATAATAATAAATTTAATTCAATAATATAATCAAACCAAAAACACTGAAATTTGAAATAGAGCGCCAAGTTCGCACATCACTGAGCAAAGTCACAAAATCGTTTTCAGTGTCTGATGATGAATTTCCCCATGAATCATTATCTCTCAATTCTGCAAATGGTTCTAATTTACTATCGCTGTTCTCTAGCCGGTCTAAAACCGCTTTTGACCTAAAGGGACGCTTTTTGGACGCCATGGACGTTTCTCAATTTCCAGGCAGAAAGAACAGTATAAATGCAGGCAGGGCACAGGACAAAGCACTCGGGACAAAATGTATGTGAAATGGTTTGATACAGTAATGTTTTACTACGTGATTTTAGTGTATTTAGTGAATGTCACTTTTTGAAAGACAGGAAGACAGATGCCGGCATCCACCGGATTACATTGCCGGGGACACTGCAGGAGGGACATCGCGGGAGCGCAGGACAAGGTAAGTGAAGAACAGATGCCGGAGTAGCACCACATGGTATTCCTGAGTGTAGCTCGGGGTTACCACTTTTGGTACTGAAACTTTACCCCGAGCTACACTCGGGAATACCGCCAGGGAGGCTACGGAAATGGAGTTACCCCATGGACAAAACTAATTGGATAGTATAATCTATCTTGCTACAGATATGTAATATGGGTACACTCATCCACGGGCTTAAATGTCAGCCTCTCATGGTAAGTCCCATACATCACCATATCCGGTCACAAATACCTCACTGTCGTGAATTCTAGAATTTAACAGATAATCTTGCACATCCCTCTTTAATACCACTTAAGCTGGCCATACACGTGTAGATTTTCGGACGAGAATATTTGTACAAAAAGTCGTAAGAAAATTCTTTGAACATTCGGTGAATGGATGAATGTCGTTCAAAAAGGGTCTTTTTGCTTTTAACTTTCGAGTTTAAAAAAAATGTAATTTCTGGATGATAACCACATTCACTGGCCGAAAATTTGTTTGATCAAAAAAAGTTTTCCTTCCTGCCACTTGAAATATTTCCGTCACTGCTGTCAAAAACAAACATTGATTTGACCCCACTAACAATTAGAAATCAAACGAATATCCTTGAAATGAAAATTCTTGAACGAAAATCTATGCGTGTATGGCCCGCTTTTGTGTTGTAGGCCATGAGTGAGTAGACCTGGATCATATTTTCATAAATGCTTTTTAACCTCCCTGGCGGTCTGATTATTTCAGATTTTTGGTGCTGAAAGCGGTACCATTTTTTTGCATGGAAATATGTATTTTTTTAATTGTAGGCCTGTAATTTTTAGGAAAAACTCACTGAAATCTGTCCGAACAAGAGTCTAGTAAACATCCCGGGTATGATAAAATTTGAAACACAAAATCATAAATTATAATTTAATAAATAATCATAAAAATAATAAAAAAATTAATTCAATAATATAATCAAACCAAAAACACTGAAATTTGAAATATAGCGCCAAGTTCGCACATTGCTGAGCTCAGTCGCAAAATCGTTTTCAGTGTCTGATGACGAATTTCCCCCACGAATCATTATCACTCAATTCTGCAAGTGGTTCTGATTTACTATCGCTGTTCTCTAGCTGATCTAAACCGCTTTTGACCTAAAGGGACACTTTTTGGATGCATGGACGTTTCTCAGTTTCCAGGCAGAAAGAACAGACAAAATGCAGGCAGGGCACAGGACAAAGCACTCGGGACAAAATGTATGTGAAATTGGTTGAGACAGCAATGTTTTACTATGTACAGGACTGCGGTGGGGATTCTGACACTGGGGGGAACTGACATGGTGTTACTGACATCCCCAGGGACACCAATACAGTAATCAGTGCTAATAAAAAGCACTGACACTGTACTAATGGTACTGGGCAGGAAGGGGTTAACATGTGGGGCAATCAAAGGGTTAACGGGGTGCTGTTTTACTGTGTGCTGTGTGTGTGCTTTACTGTGTAAGCATACTGCTTTGTATGGCTCTGTTATGCAGAGCCATACAAAGCAGTGTGCAGGAGCTGACAGGGGAGATCTGTGTTGCTTATACACAGGTCTCTCCCCCGTCGGTAATACTCGGAGATTGCTGGGTGCCGGCGGGGAATGCCGTGTGCCCCCTACCCAGAACTGCAAAATTACGTATATATGCTGTACGTGATTTTGCGTGCCGGTGCCTCCCTGTAGCAATATTTCTGCTATAGGGCGGCGTGGAAATGGTTAAAATCATAGTACAAGTCTGTCATGATCCAGTCAGGTCAGAGTTAATTCTGAATATGCACAACATTTTAACAATACCATGTCAAAGGAAGGCCACGTTTCATTTGTATATCTTCACAGGAAGAAGTCCCTTAATGTGTTATTAAACCCACAACAGTGAAATCAGTCTATATATGTAGGAAAGCATGCTTGATCAACTCACTGTGGAACCTAAGGGGTTAATCCTCTGCATTGTGTAGAAAGGCTGTTTGATCCTGACTTCTCTGATCCTCCCCTTCTTCCAGTGTCCCACTCTTATTTCCTGATAAGACATATCGTGTAGAGACACTCTGCACATGCTCAGTTTGGATGTATTGCTAGAGAGGTTTTTTTTCTTGACATAGTGCATGTGATTAGCACAGGGCCAATCAGCACTGTCCAGACAGGAGCTCTGCATCCTCCTATAACCAAATTAAAACTCCTACAATCTTTAACATGTGCTATGCTGGACACTGATAGAAGTCACAAGACTGCTCTAACTGCTGATGAGAAAAGGTATTTAGCAGTTTATATTTACTAAAATAATTGCATTTCCATGTTCTGTTTACTGTGGGAGATCAGATATAGTGAATTGAGGAACCTGGGTTTAGTAACACTTTAAATTATATGTTAACCCAACATTTCAAATTCCTGATATGTGCCTGTCTGTACGATGTGCTTGTAGGAAAAAGTATCCTCTTCTCTTTCTATTATTTCCTTTGTGTGAAATCCCTGGTGTTCCTACTGCTTTTCTATTCAAAACTGACCACGCTAGGCATGAGAGCACAGCGTGATCAGTTTCTGGCTGTTCTGGGTACTGAGCCTGCTCTTTTCCAATGATCAGATGTTTGCTGACATCCCCCCACCCCCTGCACAGCCGTTCACTAGGAAAATCAGTGTGCTGCTGTTTCTCCTCCCTCGCTCTCTGAGCTCCTTATGCAGCTGAGAACAGAGGGAATGTGATCATTTATTAAAAAAAGGGGAAAAATGTATTTATAATGTTTTTATATGTATACACAAATGTTTTGCCTTTCATTTTTTATTTTAAACCGAATGGATTGTTTTACAAGGTGAATCATCAGTGTGTGCATTTGAAATCTACAGAGTTTTGAAAAGTTTAAAGACCCATAACTCCCATACTATACAGTGCACAATTATAAAACTTTCTGCAAGAAACTGGTTGTGCAGCAATGAGATGTTGGACACCAAACAAATGTGCTAGCTTTATGGTAGAATATGGAAGAATATTAACCGCTTCCCTGCCGCCTTATAGTAGAATTACTGCTACAGGGCGGCAGGGCTGCACAAAATCATGTATGTATATATATATATATATATATATATATATATGTGTATATATATGTGATTTGCATTTCCGGGTAGGGGGCGCAGGCATACGCTGCCTTACTCATGCAGCCAGAGATTCCCCACCAGCACCAAGCGATCGCCAAGTAACACCGACAGGGGAGAGATCTGTGTAAACAACACAGGTCTCTCTCCTGCCAGCGAGAACATGCTGCTGTGTATTTCTCTGCACAGCAGAGAAATACACAGCAGCATGTTTCGCTAGTAAAAAAACACACACAGCACATGATGTAAAACAGCACACAGTTAACCCTTTGATCGCCCCAGATGTTAACCCCTTCTTGCCCAGTGTCATTAGTACAGTGTCAGTGCTTTTCAACTAATCATCGATCATTGTATTAGTGTCACTGGAATGTCAGTGGCATTTAGTTAGTTCCAACCCAGTATCAGAATGCTCGCCGCAGTCCCGCTATAATCGCTGATCGCCGCCATTACTAATATAATACAAATAAAAATTCCAGTATATATACCGCCACATGTAGACACTATAACTTTCACATAAACCAATTAATTTACATGTATTAGGATTTTTTTTTAGCAAAGACATGTAGCAAAATACATTTTGTTCTAAATTTATGACGAAATTTGATTTTTTACATTTTTTTACTGGATGTTTTATAGCAAAAAGTCAAAAATATTGTTTTTTTTTTTTTTTTAAAAAATTGTTGGTCCTTTTTTGTTTATAGCGAAAAAATGCAAAATGCACAGGTGATCAAATACCACCGAAAGAAAGCTCTATTTGTGTAGAAAAAAAAGGCATAAATGTAATTTATGTACAGTGCATGACCTCGCAATTACCAGTAAAAGTAATGCAGTGCCATATCGCAAAAAATGGCCTGGTCAGAAAGGATGGTAAATCCTCTGGAGTGGAAGTGGTTAATAAAAAAGGACCTTTAAAATTTGGTGCTGATTCTGCTAGATATAAAGCATCAGTGCTTGATTTCTACATACAGCAGAATGACAATCAAGGCCATTACTCCTACTTTGGATTTAAACTCATAACCCAGCATGGTTATCTGTTTTTGAAGGTTACCCAAATCCTACCCTTGCTAATTCAGTAAGAAGCAGTGGCAAGCCCCTTTCGTTCAAATAAACAGGTCAGGAGGGTGGTAAGGGTCCTTTCATGCAACCATTCTGAACAGGTTAACCTGTCAGTTTTTCTGGTGGTCCTTATCGGACGGTTTGTTCATCTCTATGGACCGGTGGGTGTAAATTAACTTGTGTCTGTTTACATCCACCTACCTCCCATCTGATCCAGTCCGCTAAAAATAAAGAGAAGGGGATCCATTCTTCTCTGTTTTGGTGGATCGGTTCAGAGGACAGTAAGTTTACACCTGGCCGCCCATAGAGGCTCTTTCCGTGTCTGCTCTGCATGAACTCAGTGGGCATGGACCTGTCATCTGCCCGCTCTGCTCTAATCGACGAGATCAGCGGACAGATCCAGTTGCATTGCTTTGAGCAAATCAGATTCCGCCCCGTGTAAAGGGGGCCTATTTCATCTCCAAGCTATAAAGTTGAGATCCACAATCAAATCTGAGTCATATTTGAGGGGTCCCATCTATGTTGCGGGATATGGTCTACATATTCTATCCAGGGGTGGACTGACAACTCATGGGGCCCCCCGGGCAATAGGGGGTCATGGGGCCCCTGTGTCCTTGCCCACACTCAAAGCACACCCAAAAAAGCCTATAAAAAAGGTACCAGGGGCATTTCATGGGGCCCCCTACTGACCCCGGGCCCTCGTGCAGTGCCTGAGTGCTCGAATGGTCAGTCCGCCCCTGATTCTATCCAGCCCGGGAACCAGGAGAAATGCTTTTTCTGTAAGTTTTTTTTCCTTTTATTTTTGTTCTGTTTGCTTATGTAGTACTTTTTTAACTCCTGGATTTTGCAACGTTTGTAACTTTCTATGCATTGAGGGAGCGGGATATTAAATATGTAATTACTGTAATAATGTTTTTTTGATTGCTCTAAAGAACGCATAACTCTGAAGAGACTGAGTAGGTGTTTGCATTTACTCTATGCATATTATTGCCTGGTTTAGCCAACCTGTAATTGCTAGTGAAACCAGTATGTCGTCTGTAAAAGCCTATATGCCATTCCACTTGAATGCAAAGTGTGCTGACTGGAGGTGTAAGCAGAAAGGCTTCTTTCAAGCCTGTAAGTTGTGGCGGCAGATTGAATATTAGTGCATAAGGGTCCATTCACACTGGCCTGCACAGTATAATACAGGGTTTTAATGTGCAGGTACCTGTTAGTGGAAGGTCAGGAAATGGGCGGTACAATGTGCCTTTAAGTGTTGATATTATTATTATTATTATACAGGATTTTTATAGCGCCAACAGTCTGTGCAGCACTTTGTATATCATTGTCTTTTTCTTTCTTCCAGCTTTATTGAAATTTAAAAATTACATTTCATTAATTTATATGCATAACAGCTTGGATGTGAAAATACTGTGGTATTTTGGTGAAATTTATTACTTAAAAAGAGTCATTTTTTTCATTTGTTCTGCTTCACTGGCAGGATATTCATAATAAATGGGCTACCCAGGGCCAGTACTACAACTAGGCAAACTAGGCAGCCACCTAGGGTGCAGCCACAGCCAGGGCCACTGATAGGGCAGTACAGCTAGCCTTGCTGTAACATTAATTATATTTTCCCTGAGCCCCATCAGTTCACCAGAGGGGCCCAAGTGGCAAGAAGCAGAGAGGGACTCTCTTTTTAATTTTGGGCAGAGGTGGCTAAAGCAATGCTGATCAGTGGCAGACAGAAGCTACTGCTCACAGCCTTTCACTGGCGGAGTGATTATCAGAGGGCGGAAGGCAAGGCTGTAGCCCAGCGGTGGGAGGTGATTCAACAGAGAGGTGGCCAAGGGCACAGGCAACAATGGTAACCTAGTGCACAGGCAAGCTCACAACTTCTGTTTTCTGAGGTACCGACAGAGATACAGCCATACACTGTAAAGAGACAGACATACAGCACCTTCTGTACTGTGTGATCATCATCATGATAATGATGTTGATCACATAAGCACAGTGAAATGCTTCCTGTTAGTTCTTATTTACACTTGTATTTGAGGGACATTAAAAATGTGTGGCTGAGCCACATTTTTGCTGTCCCCCAATCACTCCCCATTATGCTGCAAAGGCACTGCCACTGTAGTATGGCAATAGCAGCAGCGTGTTGAGTAAAATCCCTTGCTGCCATACACCTGTTTACTGATCTCCCCTTCCTGTGAATGACCCGGTAGCAACATGTAAAACGTCACTTCTGTGTCCTGGTGTCACTATTCTCAGACAGGATTGGATGCTGTTAGCTGGAGAAGAAGCTGTCTCCTGCAAACTTCTGCCACTTTGTGAAGAAGAGGTATCCAGCCAATGAGGTGCTGCGCAAGCCGTACTGCAATATCACTTCCTCCCAGCTCCCTTGTCAGTCTCCACATGCTAATGCTGACAAGGAGTTTTATATTGTTGTTAAGTTTTATTTGAAGTTTTATTTTTGGGGGGGAATGGTACAAGTAGCTGGTCTTGCC